CCATATAAAATAATGTTTGGTTGATTAATAAAGTTCATTAAATTTGTAAAATGTGACTTGATATGAAGAAAGCGTATTTTTTTTAAATTGTAAAGTGGTACTATTCACATTTCCACCACTTGAATATGGTTGAGTAGACAGTTTACCTGACATTTCTATCTGTTCTCTCCTCTTCCCCATTAAGGCTTCAACACACGTTGCGCACACGCAGCAATTATCTGCAAAAACCAATGGTATATGTTCTGATTTCTTTTTCTTTTTAAATAGATGCAATGCACATTGGGTATATGTTATACCATTGTAGAAAATAAATGCTGAGTTTACAAAAGACATGGCTGATATGACTTCCAGTGAAAAGACTGTTTCCATGTGGATTCATGCAGATGATTAATCTTGCTCGGGTTTTTAACCTATAAAAGTTATTTATTAACAGAGAATAAAGCACATTTGTTTGGGGCATAGTTTATAATGCAAATAATCAACACAAGTGAGCACTCCTGTATATAATATCAGAACAGGAATAGGCCAATTCAACCCCTTGAGTTGCTGCTGCCAACAATTGGATGACCTGTACCTTGACTGTTACCTGTCTTTGCTCCTTGTCTGTTGCACAGCAAAAATCTGCCATTCTGAATCCTGAACACTTCAGTTGACTCTGTTTGGGCTTGAGTTCCACATTTCCACTACCTCTGTTTGTGTGATGGTGGGTGATGTGTGCTGTTTTTTTTCATATACTTCATAGATAAAATTGAGACATCAACCAAACATGGATGATTGGTTAACACAAAAATACGCAGGTTGTTTTATTAAGTTGGTAGCAGTATTAAACAATTGGAGAACTTGTTGAGTTGGTAGCTTCTTCAGAGCGAGTGAAGTTTAAATTATGATATGTCATATTTCAGTGTAATGAATACAGAAAGCTTAATCACTAACTCCAGAGTATCACAAAAACTGTTTCATGAATTTGCTCCCAAAATGGTGTAGCTCCAATTTTTTTTTTAGATGATCCTGAACCCCTCCAAATTTAGTAGTTCATTTTTCCAATTGGGAAATAGTTACTCTCTTTAGCCTATTAAATGTGTTTTCATGTTTAAACATTCGTTTTCTATCTCTCAAATACAGTAACAAACTTGTATCACCAAGGTTGCTTTCAATTCAATGCAAATAGCAAAGTTATGATTTACTTATACTTTCTATATTACAATCTTGATTTGAAACATGACTCTAATCAGAGTTTACATTCAGTCTGCTACTCAATCAAATCTGAATTTTGGTATATTACAGCAGTGAACAATAATGATTTTCTATTATAATTGAGGTATTCAGATATTGAGCTGTAGGGCATTTACAGTACACACAGGTCTACTTATGGGAGGAGCTATTGACATTGAACCCGAGGAAAAGTAGCTAATATTTTAAAAACCCCAAAAAAGTGACTCAACTTTAAGGAGATGCTCTCTAGCTCTTTTGCTGACACTCATCATCACCGTAATGCGCATTCTTCAGTCATAGCCAACCATTACGTATATGACAGTTCTGGGTATTGTACAAAGCACCCAAAAATTTATCTGTATGCTTGTAAACAATGCTTCAAGTACTTAATGAGCTGAGAGACTGTTTAGAAGCAAGGAAGCCTTGAGGGTGCTATGGAGATCATTGTTGGACATGTACAGAGGCTCAGAAGAAAAAGCTAGATTTTGTTTTTTTTTAAAAGCAGAGTTCCAGATAATTGAGAATGGCCAAATAGCTGTGTAAAGAGAGAATTCCATCTATGGGATAGATAATGAGGGAGTGTGCGTGTGTGTGTGCACGTGCGCGTGTCAGCGATGCATGTACGTGAATGAGCAAGTTGCATTGCTAGGGATATACCACAGACCTGAGCTGTGACCTGTGCAGTCAGAGATGCGGAGTGAAGAACTGCCTGCCAAGCACCAGTTGTGAGTCCACATAAATCTGAGCTAAGTCTGTTACATTCTAATTAAAGGTAGAAATGTATATTGTTTTGAATCATTATCTTCTTAATTGTATTTATTTAATCATTACTGCTCGTATTTACTTTAGTAAAGTAGTTGTGTAATAGTGATTCATTACATGATGTGGTCTATTGACCCATCCTAACAAATATTTGGCTTGTCCAATAATCATATAACTGGGATCATAACAATGTACAGAATTAAAAAGAACTGTTTCCTTTTGTTTTTGTTTCCTTCTTTCCATGCAGTTTCTGTTTTCATCTGTTTCTGATAGTGATACAGCTTGGAAACAGACCCTTCGGTCCAAGCAGTCCGTGCTGAACATAATCCCAAACTAAACTAGTCGCACCTGCCTGCTCCTGACCCATATCCCTCCAAATGTTTCTTTTTTCATATTCATCTAAATGTCTTTTAAACGTTGTAAATGTACTTGCATCAACTACTGCTTCTGGAAGTTCATTCCACACACAAACCACTATTTTTTTTCAAACAATGCCTCTTGTGTCTTCTCTAAATCATTCTACTCTCCCCTTAAAAAATATGCTTGCTAGCCTTGATTTCCCCCAACTAGGGGAAAGACACTTGCCATTTACCTTATCTATATCCCTCATGATTTTATAAACCTCTATAAAGTCACCCCTCAACCTCCTGTTTTCCAGTGGAAAAAGGTCACAGCCTATTTAGCCTCTCCTTATAAACTCAAACGGTCCATTCCCAGCACCATCCTGGAAAATCTTTTCTGAACCCTCTCCAGCTTATTAATATCCTTCCTATAACAGGCAACCAGAACTGGGCACTACTCCAGAAAAGGCCTCATCAAAGTTTTGTACATCCTCAACTTAAGGTCACAACTCCCATATTCAAAGGTCTGAGCAATGAAGGCAAGCATGCTAAATACCGCCTTAACCACCCTATCTATATGTGATGCAAACTTCAAAGAATTATGTATCAGAACCTTAGGTCTGGCTATTCTACAACACTACCCAAGGCCCTACTTTTAATTGTATAAGTCCTGCCCTTTACCAATGTGCAATACCTCATATTTATACATTTAAACTCCATCTGTTGCTCTTCAGCCCATTGACCCAATTGATCAAGATTTCTTTGTAATCTTAGGAAACTTCACTGCCCACTATACCACCAATTTTGGTGTCATCTGCTTACTAGCTATGCCTTCTATATTCTCATTTAAATGATTACATTAATGACAAACAAAAGTGGATCCTGCACCAATCCCCTGTGGAACACCACTGTTCACAGGTCTCCAGTCTGAAAAACAACCCTCAACCATCACACTCTGACTCCTACAGTTAAGCTAATTTAGTATCCAATTGACAAGCTCACCCTGAATCCCGTGCAATCTAACTTTACCGACTGGTCTACTACGCACAACCTTGTCAAAGGCTTTACTAAAGTCCGAGTAAACAATGTCTACTGCTGTGCCCTCATCAATCCTCTTGGTTACTTCCTCAAAAAGCTCAATCAAGTTTCTGAGACAGTAGTTAAGCACAGCATAAGTTTCAAAATGTGGAACTGGTGTATGCCATAAATCCAAAGCCACAAAGCAGATTTGAGTTTTTAAATGCGGAATATATAAAAATGAATTGTACGTATATAGGTGTCAGATTTTCTTTCTTCTTTCACTTTCTTAAATATCAGCAAGTGTTTTTTGTAAATCAGGTACTTTTCCTTTCTTACTTTTTGTAAATGAACCAAACTTTCTGGTGGAGTCAAGGAGGAAAGGGGTGTCCCCTGGTAAATAATCCTGCAATTAACTGCAAGAATGAGTGATTTGAACATGATTTTGAACTCCAAGCTAGCCTAGAAATTTGTGTCTTTGGCATTCCACTCATTCCTATCCATATTTACGTGATGCAAAAAGAGAATACTATGGATGCTAGAAAACTGAAACAACAGATCAATGACGTTTCATCAGAACCTGGTCATGTCAATGACCTGAAGTGTCCAGATTTTCTCCACAGATGCTGCCTGAGTTTTTCCAGCTTTCTTTGTTTGTTTCTTTCACATTTGTATGATAGTGTATTTAGGCTGAGCAGAGCAGGAAGAATCAAGTCCAAGAAAATGTTCTCCACTGTTTGTTCCTTTAGGAACTTGGTGTTTTTAATCGCTTGCCTGGTAATCATGAACCTCAGAATCATGTGTCATGTTGCAGGTAGCAGCCATTTGATCAATCATGTCTGCACCAGGTCAACAAATGAGCATTTTGACTTAGTGCCATCTTGTATTTTCCTCATGCCCTTGTGTATTATTTCAATTTAAATTATCCATCCAATTCCCACTGATTTGAAACTGCCCAAACCAAGCTTCCAGACAGTACATTCCAGACCTTAACCACATTGCTTTAAAAATCTTTTTTGCGCATCACATTCTCCATATCAATGATTTTCAAAGCTATCATATCTCCTCTTAGTCGCCTTGTCTCTAAAAGAGAGCAGCCCCAAGCTCTCCAACCTATGTTCATAATTGAAGTTTCTCATCCATAGAGACATTTTTGTAAATGATTTCTGCAGTCTTTAATGCGTTCACATCCTTCCTCCAGTACTATATAACAAGTGTCATGTCCAAGTTCAGCATCAACTCCTTGGTCTTGTACTCTATGCCCCTATTAATAAAGCCCAGGACACTGTATGCTGTCTGCACCTATACTTTCTCTGATCAGTGCACATCTATACCCTAGTCGTTGTCCTGTATATTGTATGAAGTTTAATTCCTGTGTGAAAACATATCAAATAACTGATTAAATTTAATTTTTAAATCACATTTTTAATTTTAGTTGCTCCAAACTACATCGTCAGATATGAGGGAATGACTGGGATCAAATTTTGAGAAAAGTGCAAAATATAGGATAACCATATTGCTGAATGGTAAATTTCTACATTTGCTGAAGATCAATGTTGTTCCATTAAAGTTGCATGAAATTCTAGATTTGTTTTTAAATTTCTTGCAAAATTTCAATTAATTTATTTAATAATTAATGTTTTAACACAAGTCATTTCTTTTTTGTAGGACTGGAAGTTGTGTGGTCCTTTGTGCCAAGATGTTGCGATCACTGAAGCATTCATGTGATCTGGCAACTGGCCCTGAGCAACAAGTGGCTAATCATACAGAAAGTTTTAAATCTGATGGGTGCCTATCATTAGGACAGGACAGTAACTGTGGTGAAATAGAAAGCACAACTCACTCGGTTAATTACTCCAGTGGAACTGTAGAAGAGCTTGAATCACTTATGGCTAACTTGTCTCCTGTAGAGTGCAATGAAAATCGATTGTATGCTGGTAGATCATCATCCTTTTCAGTTGAAAGAAAATGGTGTGATCAGAAAAGAACTGATTCTACTTTACCAGCTCAGTTTGAAACCCCCAGGAGAACTTACAAGACAATCACATTACGGCGGCGACTTCTTGAGTCACATTCCACCTCCAGTGGAAGCGTAGAATTATATAGAACTCTTAGCCAATTGAATGAAGCTGGTGTGGTAGAATTGTCTTTTACCAGAATAGGTTGTAAAGATTCTTTTTGTTCAGACAGTTCACTGGACTCTCCTGAGGACTTGAATTCTAAAGCTTTGGCAACAAGCACTTTAAACAGCGTGGAAAGTGGCACTTCATGTAGAACTAAAAGATATTTATTTGCACAGCAGCGTACCTCTACAATAGACGACTTAAAGGGTAAAAATGAGTTAGTATCTGCTGAATGTATAACCCTTGAGCAATCTACAATAAGTAGTAAGCTTGATTTCAGCAGTTTCTCTTTTTCTGAAGGCTATGATGAATGCACTTCAACTGAGCCCTTTGAAACACCATCTAACCATGGACAATCTGAAATAAATGAAGACCACCAGTTCCTTACTCCTGTGAACAACTTTGTAATGAATCTTAGTGAAAACTTGGCAGACAGGGCAGCATCCAGGACTGCATCAGATGGCAAATTAAATAACTCAACAACTGAGGACAGTGGCTACACTTCTGTTGGCTTTGAAAAATCTGATTCCTTTTCAAACCATGAACATTCCTTCCAAGAGTTGGTGCAAAACCAAAAGAGAACACCCAGGATGCTAGATTGCAAAAATTCCCAAAGAAGCTTCGAAAGATCCAAGCGGTTATCCACTCTTAGTGAGCGAGGTTCCCAGTCGGAGGCAGATGATGAAGACAGAGAAGCTTTTCTTCTAAGATCAGATTGCAACTTAGAATCTTGCACTAGAGAAAATGAATTGGTGTTTGAGGAAAAAGCCTGTGTGGAGCCTCTAAAGTCTAAGGATTTGTCTTGTACCCCTGCTTTACAGTTAGTACAGGAAATATGCATGAGAAAAAGAAAAAGGCTTGGGGATGCCACTATGCACGATCCCGGTCAGTCAGAGGAAAAGACATTGAGTGAATCTATGCCATCACTATCCAGACTCATTGGCAGAAAAATGGGTTTGGACAAAGTGGATATCCTAAAAGAACTATTGAGCAGAAATCTGACCCACGTTCTTGCTACAATTTTGTTCCACTTAACCATAGATGATCTCGGCAGGTAAGATGTGTTCCATTCCAGAAAACCAGTTGGTGACAGACAGAACTGAAGAACTCTTTTTACACTTTTAAAGCATTTTATTTACATTTGTACATTACAGTTAAATGATTAACAACATGCACAGTGTTCTTTAATTCTTTCACTGTATATTCCTAACCAGATATGCAGCAGTTTTTTCTATTACCCTCCAAAAAATTATGAACTTAGGTGTGTAGTAAACTTACTGATGTATGATTTTTGCAAATTGTTGGAACCTTGAAATAATAGGGAGTCTTTTTGAGTCTCTTCTCAATAACTTCACCATCTACACAAACAAGATTAAAACATTTCAAAGGCTGTAACTACATTTTGACAGTTTTGCTCCCTTTTTTCTCTCTCTCTCTCTCTCTCTCTCTCTCTCTTTTCCCCCACTCCAAACAAATCATATCTCAACTCAATTTTCATTTGTTCATGGGATGTGAATGTCAGCAACAAGCTTTATCACCTTTTCAGAATCTAAAATCTGGGCTGAAATTAACTAAAGTACCTATCTCTTGTCTGAGAAGCACTGAATATTTACTTTAAATGTCATTTGCCCATACTATGTGATGCAATTTAAATCTGATGTGTATTTTGCTTGATGCCTTTTTGTTTTGCGAATGAAATGCTTGTATGTTCATGCCAGAACAAGAATGGTGAGCAAAATCTGGAAGAAAATTGTCAAGCAAGATCAGGCAACATATCTCAGGAGGAAGCACTATTTGGATGAAATTCGAATTCAAAGAATGGTATGTGCTTTTTCTGGTCCTCAGCCTTTTTATAAAGCTAGTCTCTAGGAAAAAAAAACTGTTCGTGCATCACTGTACTAACACATACAACAATGTGGTGTAAATATGACCTTCAATTTTTTCAGAAACCGTAGCAATTTCTGTCAACGATCCATGTTTTAGTAAATTTTATAAATATGCCTTAGAAGCATTGAGTTTTGCAACAAATGTGAAGCTCTTCTGGACCATTCAATGGTTTGACACTAAATATGTGTTAGTGACTGTTTGTTTGATTTTATATTTAAGAATAAATAAGACTTGGCATTTAAGCAGTAGTTTTCAAAGACTGAATGCATGTTATTTCTTCTGTAATTGTCGTTTTTGGTTAGAAGTGATGTTCTCTACAAACAGCATAGCAGCCTGTAAGTTTCCCCATACATGTCAACCCTCTTAAGCTACAGTGCAAAAAGTAGTTAAAGGGCCCCATGCACTTAAACAAAGTGGCCTTACATGACAGGGGGAGAAAAAAAATAAGTTGTTTAGAAGGTGCTGCCAGTTCCTACTCCTCCACCTCACATAATTGTCTACAAACAGCTGGTATCTCTTTCAGTGCGTCAAAAGTGGATGACTTAACTTATACACAAAAAGTCCGATCAAGGAAGAAGTCTGTTCACTCATGTATACAGCAGGTCCTATGGTCAGGCAAAGACCTCCCTTATCTGATTTTATTTTTTTTTTTAAAAGCCTTTATGTTAAGCTTTTTCTATTCTTGATTTCAGCTAATACGATTGACACAACTAGAACCTTGAGGACAAGGGTTCAAAATGAAAAAAATATATTCTAATGTACTTTAGTCTCATTTTCTCATCAAGTGTCTTCCAACTAACTCAATTAATATTAACAGGAGTTTCAATCGTTGGACAGGATATAAATTAATCTTTGAGATGTGCTGATCTCAGAGTTTTCTTCTGTATCTGCTGTAGTTACTAAGATTCTTAAGATTCTAAGATTTTCCTATATTCTTAGACACAATTATAACCAAACTAAAATAGTTTATGGATTATTATTAAACTGTAACACAAAGATATGCATGGTTATATTAAGGAAAAAGATTTCACCTAGATGCAGAATAACACTGGAATCAAAAGAAATAAAACGAGCCAAATAATTTTCTTATCTGGATAACTAATCTAATAACTTATTGTAATAATGAAAAAAGGTGATTAAGGCATCAGGAAGTGCAGTTCACTTGCAAACTAAACCTTCACAAGAATGTCAGACTGCTTTAGAAATAAGAATGCTTTTTATGGAAAGCAGATTGCGATTAGTGAAATGCTACTTCTGGCAAGTAATGTTATATGGATGAGAGAGTTGGAATATAAGACAATGGAAGCAAAACTGAAGGCAACATAGTAATGAAACATGAATAGGAAAGATTTAGAAGGATATGGGACTAGTTCAGTTTGGGAAACCCAAACGGTATAAACGAGTTAGACCGAAGAGATGTACAGCTCGGTAACAGACTCTGACTCTATGATGAGCATTAGTTGGACAAAACACACAGATAATGAAGTTTTAAGAAAAGCCAACACAAGAACATTTGCAAATGATCACCAAGAGACATTTCCTTTGGCAAGAGAAAAACTAAACATTTGGTAGTGACTAGTAAAATTTGAAGGGGTAGAGCAAGAGAGAGACAAAGGAAGCAATATACTAATAGCTTTAGCAGAATGGGGACAAGGTTTAAGACTATAACCCAAGATGTTAGTTGTTTTCAAGGACGATAATAGTTGGAGAACCATCTTGTAAAACAAGATACCTGAAGCAGTTAGGGTTAAATAATAAACCTACAGAGGATCAGACCTGGATATGCAATCTAATTTTGAAGAATAGTATAAGAGAACTAATCTTTGATTATAATTCAGCAATTTATGCATCCCTACACAAGAGAATTCTGCAAACAGCTCTGAATTTTACCTGTACTTTTACACTCTTCTAACATGTCCTTGCTATTGCAATAAAAATTATAATATGTTAACTGGAGATAGTTGAAAAGTCATACATTTTGTGCAACCGCCTGTGACAAAATGTTTAGGGTCACAGAGTCATAGAGATGAATAGCATTTAAACCCTTCAGCCCAACTCGTCCAAGCTGACCAGATATCTTGAATTAATCTAGTCCCATTTGCCAGCATTTGGCCCTTCCTATTCATATACCTAACCAGATGCCTTTTAAACGTTGTTATCATACCAGTCTTCTCAACGTCTTCTGGCAGTTCATTCCATACATGCACCACCCTCTGCATGAAAAAGTTGCCCCTTACGTCCCTTATAAATCTTTTCCTTCTCACCTAAACCTCCAGTTTTGAGCTCCCATACCTTGGGGGAAAAAGGCATTGATTATTCACCCTATCCATGTCCCTCGTGATTTTATAAACCTCTGTTAGGTCACCTCTTGGCCTCTGACGTTCCAGGGAAAATAGCCTCGGCCTATTTAGCCTTTCCCTATAGCTCAACCCCTCCAATCCAGGCAACATGCTTGTAAATCTTTTCTGAACCCGTTCAAGTTTCACAACATCTTTCCTATAGCAGGGAGACCAGATTGATTAAGCCACTTTTGGAATATTGCGTTCAATGTCCCGTACAGCCTTAACATGACCTCCCAACCTCTCTACTCAAGACACTGACCAATAAAGGCAAGCACACCAAACACCGCCTTCACTACCCTATCTACGTGTGACTCTGCGTTCAAGGATCTATGAACCTGCACCCCAAGGTCTCTTCATTTGGCAACACTCCCCAGCACCTTACCATTAACTGTATACATCCTGCCCTGATTTGCCTTACCAAAATGCAGCACTTCTCATTTGTTTAAATTAAACTCCATCTGCTGCTCCTTAGCCCATTTGCCCATCTGATCAAGGTCCTGCTGTACTACATATCCTTGAAAAGCTCATGTTCATAGTTTCTTGCTGGTATCTATAATGTGATAGCTTCATCTTCATCTTCTGTCAGGGCTGCAATTCAACATCCAATTGAGGTTTGCTAAATTTTACATAACAGTAACATTAATAAGTAAAACCTGAGTGGGCCATCATCCTTCTGCAATGTGATTTTAAAATTTAACTTTATTCAGTCTCCTGACAGCCGCCCACTGAGGTAGTGAATTCCACATATTTGTGGTCCTTTGAGAAATGTAGTTCCTCTTTATCCCTGTTTTAACTGCCACTCTTTAGTCTAAACCTATGATCTCTCTTTCTAGATTGCCCCAAGGGGGGAAATATTCACTCTGCATATTAAAATAGGCTAATCTTAAGTCATACAAATCTAATTATTGTAGAGGAAGGCAGACTGAGGTAGTTTTCTCTTAATTTTGGAGTTGTGGAACTGAATTGGGAGTACAGTCTGAATTAGTCTTTTCTTTTCAACATTATATAAACAAAAGGTAGAAGAAACCAGAAACAGTTGAGAAACATTTGATGTAGTTACCATGGAATGTGCCAAAGAAACCTCCAATTGGGAGCAGTGGGAGAGGAGCTCGGCATCAAAATGGGTTAATTGGCTAAAAACTGGCATTTTCTTACAGCCTATTGGAGTGAGAGAGTTGCCTGAGCTGCTGCTTGCCATAGTAGGCAACTTCTCCATTCTGGTTGCTTGATCTAACAAGTAATTCATGCTCTTGTATATTTTGAACACAGCAGATACAAAGCTAATGAAGAATGAAGTTTGTTTATAGAAACATCACAGTGTTATAGGCATTTAATGCAAATTTTATTTTTACACTTAAATCTGAATGAACAGAATCTTATTTTTATATCGGATCGTGTTTCTTTTATTTGAATCCATATTCCACTTGGGTTGTATTATAAAGATTTAAATTTTGAGTAATTTCTTGTCATATCCAATAATTCAGATTTTGGCACTGCCTAACAAACCATAACAGCAATTAATTCCTGATTGTGTTTGTAAAATTATTTAATCTAAACCTGCAGAATTTAGAATATGGCTGTCTTGATCTTATGAGACCTTCCAATAAAAATAGTTTGAGTACAGATAGGCATCTTCCTACAAGAATGAAAACACAGGCATCCAAAACTAGAACTCCTAACTGATTAAAAATAAAGGGAAAACTAGGTTTATGACACTGAATTTGAGTACCACATTGTAGAGAACCAAACTGATTATCAAAAGTACAGAAGTAATATTCAAGTTGATAAGAGGGGTAAAACAATGCATTAACATAGATTAGCAACTTCTGTAGAAAGGGATCCAAGAGTTTTTTGTGTAGTATCTACATAACTGAGTAGTCAAGGGCGGTGTGGTTCATTAACAGAGGTCTTGTAGAGGCACAGGACAGAAGTGGGGTAAGCATTTTTCTTTGCTGGACGTGTCCTCTTATCTAATACAGCAGTCAAAGAGGAGGCACTAATAATATTAGATAAGCACTTCTCCTTTTAAAAACTTAAAAGATGGCAGTCCTCCATGTAAAACAATTCCAGGCCTTGATCGGGCATAATTCTATAAAATGAGGGAAATGGTGGAAATTGCAGAGGCTAGTTTCATAACTTGCAATCCTCCTTTTAAGATGGGGTGATGCCAAAATACAATAGAACTTCAAAGATTACACCTAGAAAGAAAAGATAAAAGCCAATCAGTTTATCACAGGGAGAGGGAGGCCTGAGACTATAAGGGAAAGTTAGTTTGTGAGGAAAAGAATTCGATAATAACCAGCAGCCAGTTTGGAACTTTTAATGACAAAAGTTTGGTTTGTCTAACTTGATCAAGCTCTTTGAACAAATGAAATGGTTTGATGTGTATGGTGACTTTGAATGCTTGTTTGGCAAAGTGCAACACAATGATCGTCTTAACAAAATTAAAGATCATCCAAAATTGGCTGAAGGGCAGAAAACTATGGTAAATATGTATTTTCAGACAGGAGGGACATGTATCCCTACTGTCCAGAAATCATCATCTACTGTGACATTGTCCTTACCTCTGAGCTAGAAGGTTGGGTTCACCCACCTGCCATGGTGGTGTGTTGTAACATGTCGAAACAAGTTTAAAAGTATTTGTCTGGTCTCAGTGGTAGTAACGCTGCTTCTAGACCAGAAGACATGGGTTCAAGTCCCATCTGCCCCAGAGATATGTCGGAACAGATAAATAATTTGCACTTTTGTTATGCAGTGGTAGCAGGTCCAGGGTCAAGCCCATGTGCTATGAAGATGTCACATCCTGAAAAGGTTGATTTATAAATAAATGCACCAGTGCTCCCCTAAAGGCTGGTGTTAGAATCACTAGCTTTTGTAGATTAGTAGATTGAGCTCTAGCATATAGAGCACAGTATTAAAGTTTGCAGGCGTTTTGAAATATAGTAAACAAAAAGGACAGGCACGGGTGAAACACACATGGCTGATGGAGAGTAATGACAGAACATGTCAAATGATACACTTAAAAGAATATGAAGGGTGCTGTAAACTAACAGTGGTATAATTTTAAAAGGGTTTAAAAGCAGACTACATGTTTATACATTGCAGATATTTGAAGGTACAAGTCAAGTTGAGAAGGCTGCGTTTTAAAAAGACATTTAGGAACACGAATAGGCCATTCAGCCAATTGAGACTATACTGCCTTTCAATACATTTGTGGTTGATTGAACACTTCAATCCCCTTTTACTTGCATTATCCCCATAATGCTTTATGTTGTTGGTGATCAAAAAATTGTCAACTTCTACTTTAAATGCACTCAACTGAGCTTCCACAGTCCCTCTGGCAGAGAATTCCAAAGCTCCACAGCCCTCTGAGCTTTCTTTTTAAAAAAAAAAGTTCTCATCTCAGTACTTAATGGTATTTCCATTATTTTTAAATTGTGCCTCCTAATTCTACACTCCCAAACCAGGGGAAACATATCTGCATCTAAACTGTCTATCCCTGTAAGTATTTTGTTGGTTGCAATAAGATCACCTCTCATTCTTCAAGACTCTAGAGAATGCAGGTCCAGAAAGCCCAATCCCTCTTCATGGAACAGTCTTGCAATTCTGAGAACAACTCTGGTGAACCTTTGCACTCCCTGAGATAAGGAAATGAAAATCTCTCATAGTACTCCAGGTGCAGTCTGACTAAACTCCTATAAAACTGAAGCAAGACCTTCCTACTCCTGTACTGCTGCAGTCATGGCTAACATTCTATTGGCTTTCCTAATAACTTGCTGCTTGTTAGCTTTCAGTGACTATTGGCGAGAGCACCTGGGTCCTTTTGCATATCTACACTTTTTCTAAACTCTCACCATTTCAGAAATATTCTGTCCATCTGTTCTTCCTACTAAAATGGATAATCTCCCATTTTTGTTTTCACATTGTAGTTCATCTGCCATATTCTTGACAAATCACTGTTCATCTAAATTCTTGTGAAAGTATTTTGCATCATCTTGATGACACACATTGGGGAGGCAATGGCCTAGTGGTATTATTTCTAGACTACTAATCCACAAAGTCCACTAATATTGTGGGGACACGGGTTCTAATCCTGTCATTGCAGATAATGGAATTAGAATTCAATTTTTAAAAAAATTAAGCATCTAATGATGACTAAAACCACTGTCAATTATTGGAAAAACCCATTTGTTCACTAATGCTCAAATGCAATGATCTGGACAATATTACTACAGATAAGTGGCAAGAAACATTTGCACTACACAAATGCCAGGTAATGACACTCTCCATTAAGAGACAATCCAACCACGGCCCCCCAACATTCAATAATATTACCATCACTGAATCCCCCACTGCCAAGATCCTCGGGGTTACCATTAACCAGAAATGCAACTGACTTGCCACATAAGCACAGGGCTACAACAGCAGGTCGGAGGCTAGGAATTTTGTGTAGAGTAACTCATTTCATGACTCCTCTAATGCCTGTCCACCATCTACAAAGCACATGTCAGGATTGTGATCGACTACTCACCACTTGTCTGGATGGGTGCAGCTCCAACAACACTAAAGAAACTTTACACCATCCAAGACAAAGCTGCCTGCTTGATTGGCACTGCATCCACAGGCATCTGCTCCATCCACCACTGATGGTTGGTAGCAGCAGCAGCACGTACTAACTACAAGATTCACTGCAGCAATTCACCAATTCACCAAAGATCCTTAGACAGTACCTCCCAAAACCATGACCACTTCCATCTAGAAGGACACAGGCAGCAGATGCATGAGGACGCTACTGCATGCATGTTCCTTTCTAAGCCACTCACCATCCTGACTTGGAAATGTAGCACTGTTCCTTCACTGCTAGGTCAAAATCCCTGGAATTTCCTCCCTAAAAGCTTTTTGGGTTAACCTACAGCACATGGACTGCACTAGTTCAAGAAGGCAATTCACCACCACCTTCTCGAGGGCAGCTAGGGAGAGGCAATAAAATGCTGACCAGCTAATGACACCCATGTCCCGTTAATGAATATAAAAGACACATTTCCTGCTTAGCTTCGTATCAGCTATAAATGTGGAAATATTAGATTTGGTACCCATGTCCAATTCTTTGTATATTAGGAACTGCTGAGGCCCAATTTCTGATCTTTACAAATGCCACTAGTTACACCCTGCCAATGTGAGGATACCCATTTACCCCTGTTTTCTGTTTTGGAGGACCTTGGCCAGAAGTAGTGGAAATTTACTAGAATGATATCAGATTCTGCCATAACTTCAGTTATTTGGGGAAGGTGGGGTTGCACCCCTTGGAGCATGGGAGAATGAGGACATTTGCTGGGTGTAAATAGTAATGCTTTTGATAGGGTATGTAAGGAGAAACTGTTTCCAGTGACAACTCAACCAGAGAACCATCATGAGATGACTGGCTAAAGAGCATAGGACATTATTTTAAAAAAAACTCTAACAATGAGATTTTTGAGCTCTGGAGTGCATTGCGTAAAGGAACTCAGAAGGGAATTAAATAACATTCACATAAGAGTGAGTAAGTATTTGGAAGGAGATGTGAAAATTAAAATTGTATGGGAAATAGTAAAGGAGTGGGATTAATTGGACATCTATACCAAACAGCTAGTGTAAACATGAACAGATAACCTATGCTGTATTGTTTTATGATGTTAGTGAATAGCAACTGAATATTTATTCCTTTTTAAAGACTAGGTCAGTCCCAGTTGACAAAATATAGTGTAAAACTGATCTAATTGGGATCAGTTTTTTTGCAAGAGTTATGGTTTGATATTTCCCACTCTTGCAACTCCAGCTGTCAAATTATTCAACAAATCCCTGTGAAATTTTATAATGAATGCAAATTACACTGAATCTAAAAATGTCCCATAGGGTTTCATTTAACGGTAGGAACTTGCATGATTTGAAAAAAACATTTTATCACCAATAAGCTGGGATACACAACTGAATACTTTTGTTCAACAGAATAGCATTCCTCGGGCTGCAGATGCTGAAACCAGATGTAATCATCCAAGTCGTTCTGCTTTGAGATCTGTTCAGGCCCAAGCAAAATCTGCCTTCACTCCAACTCCATCCCCTCAACAAGATGTCACCCCTGGTGGATGCAGCACTGTTTCTAAGTCAACTAGCAAACGTGAGGAGTTTTTAAAGGTTAGTTGAAACAAACCTCTTGGTGCCTTCTGTAAGCTATCAATTTCTAGGTAAGATTGTAAAAATTCATTTACCAAGCAAGTAGAATTGTAATACCATGTGTATTTGGTACTGTCCATGTGTGCACTCAGCATTGGTAGGCCAGATGCTTTGGACCACCTGTAATTAGGAATTATAACACAGAAAATAAACCCAAATATTTGGTGATGCAAGTTTTTAGTTCCTGTAACCTACTGATCCCGTTGCGGGTCTATTACATAAATTACAATATATTTTATTTTTATTCTTTCAAGAGAAGTTTTGAGAACTTTTACGTTTTGGAATCAATCCTGATATTTAGCATTTCTTTCAATTTGCGGTTACAAACACATGAATTAGGAGCAGAAGTTGGGCTTTTGGCCCCTTGCCTTCTCTGTCAATCAATAACATCAAGGCTAATCCTTTTGTGCTTCAAATTCCACATTCTCATAGTCCCCCAATTTCCTTTGTCTAACAAGAATCCAAGGTTATCAATCTACCTCCATCTTAAAAACAAATTCCAAGATTCCACCTGAACTACCTTCTGAGACATTGTTCCAAAGTGGTCTCAACTCAAATAAAAAATCTCATCTATCATAAAATGGTGACCCCTAATTATAAAACAGTGCCCCTTAGTTCTGGCCTCAGCCACAAAAGTAAGCAGCTTTTCCACATCCACCTTAAGACTGATCAGGATCTTATATACTTAAAAGCTCCAGTGGAAACAAGTCCAGGCTATCAGGCTTATCATATGTCAACCAACCCATTCTAGGTATCAATCTAGCAAACCAACTCTGAACTGTCACCAAAACCTTTGCATTCTTCCTTAAATAAAGAAATCAAAACTGCATCGAGTGTTCAAGATGTACCTTGTATAATGAGACTTAACATCTTACTTTTATGTTCAACTCTTGTGATAAAGGATTGCTGCTTCTGCTTTGTATATCTGAGTTAAAGGAGAAAAGAAGATCAGGCATTGTTTGTATCATTCTATTTATCACTTCTAGTAGGAAGCTAACAGTATTATATTGGATGTGAATGCTTTCTGATGCTAATTCTCCAAAGCAGTATGGTAGACTATTTTTGCTCTGAAATTGTATCTTAAGAAAAGGAGTACATTTTTGAGTACGATTAATAGTATAAGATCAAGTGTCTTAAATATTTATTTTTACCATCAGGTTGCAAAAACGCTCTTTAACGATGAAGCTCTAAAACCATGCCCACGATGTCAGTCGCCTGCTCGGTACAATCCAATGAAGAAACGAGGCCTCTGCAGTCGAGAAGGGTGTGCGTTTGACTTCTGCACTCAGTGTTTTTGTGGTTTCCATGGTTCTAAAGAATGTGGCAGCAGGTCTGCAAAACGTTTGGTCAATAAAGGAGGACCACCGGGAAGTGCTCAAAGCAAGCGGAATTTGAAGAGATTGTAGTCTTGTGTATATGTGAAAGCACATGAACCTTCCCCACCTGTCCTCAACCTCTTGGGTGTTATAAGCTGCTTGTGCACCTGTATACAAACATTTCAGAAAGAACTACTTGATGTTTACCTAGATAAGAGTTTGTATATGATGAATAGTGAGTGGGGGGAACTTTGTAATGCTGAGATTACAACATTTCCCCTTTCTCTTAATTGTAAATGCATATCCAATTTTAGCCATTTTTTTTCCTGTTTTCCAAATAACTCTGTATCCTTTGATAACATGCAGTACATTTGATAGAAACAATTTGCTCCAAAGTCACTGAATTGTTATGAATTTCTTGAGGGCAATAATTAAACAAGACAATCCAAGATCAATGAATATAGGATCAAAGTATAATCATAAATCCCTGGACCAATGCTACGAATGTAGGCTGTTTTAGATTAAATGAATGGTGATATAAACTTATAGTTTATTTCTCCTCTTACTCTCTCCTCCTCATCGCCTTTTTCTTTAAGTTAAAAGAAAATGTTGTTGGACATTGAGAAAATGAAGACCACAGAGTTTGAAATCTAACTTTCATCCGTTGTTTCAGATGTTTGTGAAGAACTGTTAATTGTTGGCTCTGCCCAATTCCGAGACAACAGGTATGTGTAAATATACGGTAGCTTTTTGAATGTATATAGTTTTTATGCATGTTAATAGAAATTGTCTTTTAAGTTGTTTTAATCTGTATGCTTAATAAAGTTATTTTAATAAAATTTTTAATGTTGTGAATGCATTTTCTTCAAATTTGTTTTCGAAAACTTCCAGCTTTTGCAAAATCTCATTGCTTTAAGGTATTTCAAGCTTATTTATTGCAGATGCAATTTGCTATTGTTAAAGACAGAACTAGCTTTACATTTATAACTCTATATAAAGGTGATGCTAAAAACACCAGAGTTTGGTCAGGTCTGGCTTCCCTTTCTGAAGATATCTATTGTCTTCTTTTATTGCAGTAACTTTAATATGGATGGTGTTTTATAGCCTATTGTTTAAAAACTGGGCTTTGCACTAATACAAAGAACATAGCCAGCTTGTGTAAAATGATGTATCACTTTAATTTCTGTAAACTATTCTGCATATTGGTTATCTTCTGGATAGTGGCTTGAAAAGACAGTGCGATGGTCTCAAATTATCTAGGATTGAGAGACCTATGGAGAATATTCTGCAAGCAGCTTGTAGTTTGTAAGGGATGCAATATTTATGGGAAGTAAAGCAATAATTTATTCAAAATTTCTAGATTCTGAGGTATGTCTTTACTACCCGCTCTTGGGGAAAAAAACTGTAGTTTCCCTGTTCTCATAATTAAGTTCATTTTTGAGTATCAGGTTCTTCTAGTTCACTACTGGGAAGACACCCATTTTTTGCTTTAACCATCAGTGGAAGAATTCTTTTGTGTTTCTGTTTCCCTACACTAAAGTTAAAGTACCTGTGGCTTTCCTTCTACCCATTTCCTGCTTGACACTTCGCCATTTTCCCTTTCTGACCCAAGATTAAAACTCCAGACCCACTTCAGATGGAACCCCTACTTTTGACATTTCGTCAACAATATCCCTGCTATCTTCACATCACTATTCCCATTTCAGGATCACTTTCTCAGTGTTTCTATCTGTCTGAATATTTTTCTGATTTCTTTAACTGCATAAATACCCAGTGCTTGCTGTCATGTCCTAGCATGGCTGCTTCTTAGAACTCTCGACCTCCATTCTCATTTCTATGATGTTACTTCTCATGCTGCAGAATTTCAAATTCTAATGCCCTTCTACATCTGCCTCATATAGCTATTGCCCGAACACCATCAAACTACTGAGTATAGGTAGTCCCTAGTTTGCGAATGGATTCAGTTCTTGAGTATGTTTGCAAGTTGGAACATAATAAAAAGCAATTTAAAATAGCCATTCGTAAGTAACAGGGAATATTTGTGTCAGATCTTTAAAATGAATATTAATGTACACTCATATGGGATTTGTTCGTAAGTAGGATGTTCATAAATCGGGGACCGCCGGTGTATGTACTAGTCTTTTCTCATTCTTTTGCTTTGTAAAGTAAATATTCTATGACTGGATTCCCTATCTTAGGTTTTCTTTTTTTTTTAGAAAAAACACAATGCACGAGTAAATATTAATTTAGTGTTCTGTCAAGAAGTCATTGACCTAAGTATTGAGCCTCTATTTCTCTTCTTGCCGCCCCCACCATCTAAGATATTCCCTGATTTTTTTTTTTTTTTTCCAGTATTTTCTTTTCTCATGGATATAATTAAGGTCAGTGGTTACATGCACATACTTATCCTTTATGAAACTTGAATTCTCTATCTTGAGTGAAAGCTTATACTGTATGGAATTAGAATGCATATTCTGTTTTGAATAGCAGCTTAACTGCTGTGTTTTAGTTTCTTACGTGGGAATGAAATCTATCAAAAACCATTTAAGAAAAGACAAAATGATTGTTCACCCTGTAACTATTACAATGGCTCAATGTCCAGTTTTAAACATTGCAATCTCAATCATAAACAGAAATTGCTGGAGAAACTCAACAGCCTGGCAGCATCTGTGGTCAGAAAGCAGAGGTAACGTCTTGGGTCCAGTAACCCTTCTTCAGAACTCTTAGTAGCTACGAAAAGGTAGAATATATGCTGAAGATGGGGTGGGGAAGGAGCAAGAAAATAGAGGGAGTTGTTGTCCAAAGAGAGTGAATGACAGTTAGACGGACAAAGGGATGGATAAGGGTACCCAAGAGAAATTTTAGCTGATAATGGTGGCCATGGGTAGGTAAAAATGGGTTCGAAATGCTGAAAGCAGCTCATTTCATGACAAGATCTGCACTGTGGGTTGAGTAAAGTACATAAAGGAAGGTGTTTAGGTTCTAAAATTATTGAACTTAATATCAAGTCCTGAAGACTGTAGGGTGTCCAAGCAGAAGATGAGATGCTGCTGTTCCAGCTTGTGCTGAGCTTCACTGGAGCACTGCAGAAGGCCTGAGACAGATGTTAACCAATCACAATCACACCTGTTGAATGTACTTCTGGGTGTGCTGACTCCAAGCAATGGAATGCAGACAAGTGCAAGTTACAATACTTGATATCAAGTTCACTAATTTTAGAACCTAAACACCTTCCTTTATGTACTTTACCCAACCCACAGTTGGAGGAAAATGGAAGACCAAATATGATTTCTTCATCCAACTTGACCTGTATACTATTTTAGCAAGTTGATCAGAATTGAATAATTGTATTCATTTACAATGGTACAGCGGAGCTTTTTGGTTGTATGGTAGGATTATAAAATGGTACTGATATTTGATGTCTCACTTTAAAACAAATGTGTATGATTAGTCAGAAGTAGCGTTTAGACTAATACATTTTACAATGTTGTATCAATAAGGAAAGCCCAAAGTCTATATACATTTAATATATGCCAATCAATTAACTTCTGATCTTCCACTGATGGTCAAGGCAAAAATAACATCTTCCCCAGCAGTGAATTAGAAAAACCTGACATTCAAAAATGAACCAAATTGTGCTCCTGGGGAAATGACCCATTTTCCTTCAAGTGCTGGTAGATACCTTGCTGCTGCCTTGAACTACAGCATTTGATGTAAGTGCTCCCATAGTGATATTAGGAAGAATTTCCAGGATATTAACCCTGCAACTGTGAAGGAATTATGCATTTCCAAGTCTGAATACTGCATGATTTGGAATGGGTCTGCAGCCATTGGTAATGTTTTCCATATACTGCTACGCTGGTCATTTTACTTAACAATTAAATTGATGTTCAATATTTGCTAGAGCATTGCCAACCACATCTAATGTAAATCTTATTTAAATTGATAGCTGCTTTGTTTAAAAACAATTTCTCCAAATATTACAAAGCACAACACTGCACAGGAGCAAGGCCTTTGGCCTTACAAACCTGCACCAATCCATGTTGCCCTTCCATTTTAAAACTGTCTTCACTTTACAGGATCTGTATCCCTCTTTTCCCTTGCTATTCATGTATTTGTCCAGATGTTTCTTGAATGTTGCTATTGTGTCTGCTTCCACCAACACCTTTTGGCAGCCCATTCCAGGCACTCACCACCCTTTGTGTGATAAACCTGCCTCGCACATCTCTTTTTAAAGTACCCCCCCCTTGCACTTTGGACCTGTGTCCCCTAGTAATTGACCCCTCCACCCTGGGAAAAAGTCTCATAATTTCCACTGTATCCATGCCATTCACAATCTTATTAAATTCTGTCAGAATACCCCTCAATTTCCTGCATTCCAGTGAAAACAAACCCAGTTTATCCAACCCGTATTCTAAGATTATCAAATGCTATACCAAGGCCCATGTATAGCCACTTAATTATCTTTTAATTTTGTTTGGTGTCAGACACACAACATTTTGTCTGCTGTAGCCCAGTAGTAATGGTGCCAGGACAGATCACAAAGTTCAAAATCTTGTCTTGGGTTTGTCTTTGGTCCTGTATGTTATTGCATTGTCTGTGAATTTCATTGTTCTGAAGATATTTCCCTTACCTCAAATCCCAAAGTGAATAAGACATCCAGACATACTTAAGCTGTGCTTTTATGCTAACTGTGCTGGAATATTCTGGGTTTTCAATTGAAAATCAAGTGAACCTGCCTGAACTGACTTTTTAAAAATATTTTCTTGGTGGGTGGGGGAGGAACATGCATCAGGTGTTTTTGTTGTATGTTTCTAGGTTGGGCAGCAAACATGCTGACCAGACCTGGCAGCGTTGGATCACTGTTCATTTAACACACAAAAGGGCAGCTCAATAGGTCCAGTTAACATTTAAGCTCCACGCGAGCCTCTTTCCACTCTTCTCCATCTAGCCCCATCAATCCATTTTCTTTATGATATGGTTATCTATCTTCATCCTGAAATGTATTTGCGCTTGTCACCTTACCTGCTCCTTTTGTGTTGATTTCCATATTGTAGATGCTATCGAGTAACTTTTATTTTCCTGAATTGCTCCTTGGATTTATTGATATTTCATGTTTGTATGCCTGTCATGAACTTGATGTGTGATATTATAGATTTTTAAAGAATATGTTAAATGACGTTATTTTCTTTTTTTAAAAAAACAAAATCAATACACTGGAAAATAAATTGAGAAAAGTAAAGGCCACCATGGGCCCTATCTATTACAATGAATAGTTTCAAAGCCTTAACTCAATTGGCTGGACGGCTGGTTTGCAATGCAGGGTGATGTTCTCAGCATGGGTTCAATTCCTGCACTGGCTGAGATTACCATGAAGGTCCCATCGCCTAAATCTCACCTGAGACATGGTGGCCCTCGGCTTAAACCACCAGGAATCATCTTTCTCCAGCGACAAGAGTGAATTGATGGAGACGCAAAACCACACGGTCACGTCAGCTGGCGCTACCTACAACTCATCTATCTGTCCCTTCTTCGTAACGTATTTCACAAGCTTTGTTACTCTATTTGCGTGGGATATTTGGTTTAAACTTGTTTCAGAATGCCACTAAGAAAATTCAAAGCTGCACGCGAAAAGTCGAAATGCGATTCGCTGGAAAACATGTCGATTGCATGCTTCTTTTTTCGTAACTCCCTTCCTCTTTCAAAGCACGTTCGGCTGGTTTGTCATATCTCGTTGCTTTATGACGCTTGGCTAATGCTCTCACTTAGCGCTCAGAACAAGACACTGATTGTTCCTAGCAGTTTAGTCAGAGGTCCTTGGATATTAAGAAACAACAGCGTTTCAGATCGACAATTTTCACCGGGGACACTCCTAATAACTGGGTGACAATATCCATCACTAATTCGGTTTCACTGGCTTGAGGCGAACATTTTATTGCTTGTCCGGTCAAATATAGGTTGGTCACACTCAAAACCGAGAGGAAAGAAAGCTTTGTATCTAAGTGCTAGAACACGGATTGTGGGAGCATTGTTTGTTCAGTTCATGCCTACAGCTTTTGTGTGTAGCTCCATAGCAACCCAGACTAGCACAAAAGCATTAGTTATTGTTTGTTTTCGCACGTCCACCAGAACGCACTGACCCCTTCCTGAAAGTTATACAGCAAGTAAATTGCTCGCTGTGCGTCTCAGCTGCAGCACAACATCACCGACTTTAGAAAAGGCTCAGGGTAGGCGGAAACTGAAGGTGATATCGTCCGCAATCCTGAATTCCCGCAGGAAAATCTCCAGCCAGGCACAAGGTCACGGGCATCGAATTCTCATAAATCCTCCGCTTTCTGCCTGATCTCGGTTCTGAAATTGCACCGTGTTAATGGAGCAACGAAACACATCGCCAGACAAATTTACCACTGGTAGGTGGGCATTTGATCCGGAGTTCTGCGAGAGTTGCACAGCGGTCTGTTTCAATGTAAAGCGAAGTCTGGCACGCTATATGAAAATCTAAAATGACAGGTTTTATCGTGCACAAACCTACTTTTGCATTTTATCTCTCGGCGACGGAGCGGGGGTGTAATATCTGCAATTAAAGCAAACACTGGTCAAGTAAAATACAGTCTTTTAGTATTTGAAACGATTGGTGTGAAGTTTCAGGAACTCTGGCAATTGGTTGTAAGGAGCTGGTTACGCAAGAATAGGGCCGGTGGTTTGTTTTCTGTGTTTTAGTCGGCATTTCCAATATTTATGACTTGTTTATGAAGGTAATTTTAGTGGGCTGAAGGTTCCGAGCACGGCGTTCTAAACATCTTACTTCAGGTTTCTTTTTGTTTTTCAGAACCTCCTGATATAACAGTGAATGAATTTGTAAGTGCACGTAATTGAACGTGAAATTACATGGTGAAACAATTTACTGCGGATGTCGGAGATCTTAAATAAAAGCAGAAAATGCTGGAGAAACTCAGAACATTTCGAATCCAGTATGCGTTCTTCAGAACTGAAAATTACACATAGGAGCAAATTACTGCAGATACTGGAATCTGTACTAAAAACAAAAGATGCTAGGTATCACACCGGATCAGACAGCAAGCTAACTTTCGACTCTAGATGACTCTTCATCAGAGCTCTGTCTGACAAAGAGTCATCTAGAGTCAAACGTGGCTTGCTTTCTCTCCATGGATGCTGCCCGACTGGCTGGGATCTCCAGCAATTTTTAGTTTTCAGAGAAAATTACGTGTCGGGTGAATGTATTCTCTCCTTTCGATTTGGGGGCATCTTTAGAAAGGCTTTCCGCGAAGTCCCGTATAAGAGATTAATGAGTAAAATTAAAGCACATGGGATTGGAGTAGTGTATATTAAAATGGATAGAAATTTGGTTAGCGAATAGGAATAAATGGGTTTTTTTCTGAATGGCAGGGATAGGTACTGGGATGAAATAAAACAATATACAGAAAGTGTTTCCTTATAAAATTCACACTTTTTAAATAGAATAGTTTAACTTTGTAAAGTAAGAATTATCTGAGTATGCCTGTAACTAGATGAAAAAAATCTAAAATTGTTTATTCAAAGCTATTTGTTGATATTGAAAGAATATTAAAGAAATTAAGACGCAGCCAGCTGACTAAACACCTGGTTTAAAGGTAGGGTTTAATGAGGATCTTAAAGTAGGAGATGGATGTGGAGAGATAGAAGGGTTTAGGGTGATAATGAGGAATAGATTATGTGATTGAAACTTCAGTTACCAATGGTAGAGCAAAATGAAGTTGAAAGGACAATTTCTGGATTGGATCCTTCAACAGGTCACAGATCACAAATGTAAAGATCTTCATAACTGTTTTGGGCATCCACCAATTTAACAATGGGACTAATATCTTTTAAATTGACATGCATTCTGGCTATTACATGTTACAAAAATGGACACATTGCAACAATTTTTCATCCTACTATATATGTTATCTGCATTCATCATTATCCAGTCTTGTCCTCACACAATTTCCAGACACACACATGCATGCACACTCTCTCACGCACGCACACTTCAGTCAATGAATTACAGCCAGAAGCTAAAACCCTGATTGTTTGATTTGCTTAGGCCAGGAAATTTCAGACACCTGTACTGTTACTAATGATGCAGTTGTAACACGATTAACATTATTGCTGTAAACTTATACACCTTTTGGATCAGGTGAACTATTGTGCTTACCAAGAATAGTCTTTTTCTATTTCAAGCTTTGAGGAGAAGCTTCCAGCAGTCTTCCACAACAATGTAATGAAGACTCACATTCACAAGGAGCCACATTTAGACTATCACAACTCATTTTACATGGGGCGTCAAACTGGGCTGGTTTGAATCTATATCTCAAAACTGAAAGGATATTTCTGACCTATTGTACCACTGTGATTCTCTGAAATATAAACATAAAACCTTCTGCTTGTAGTCTATATTTCCTTATATAGTTCTTTAATGCTGACTATTTTAACTGCTTTGTTTATAGCCCCTATTTGTTTTATTCTTTACACTTTATTATTTTAAAAAGCACACCTTGCCCTTTTAATGTGCCTCAAATATTCTGTCATTTATTTTATAATTAGGTTACACAAAACTAAACATTAACCTTTTACTAATGGAAAAATCAGTCCCAAAGACCAATGTTTTAGTCTAAATGAAATACTAACCAGACAAAAACTAAAATACCTAAAATCGCTAAGTGCATAATACAATAATTCTCCAGTAGCCCAGGTGAATGGGCAAGTGAATACTCTAAGGATCAATAACTCTAAGTGAGAATGTCATTTATAAAAGGACAAAATATGTAATTGAGAGGGGAAATCCTTGCAAGCAAATTTAGCAGCACCTTCTGTTTCTGAAGCTAGCAGAAGTTATTTTTATCTTTACCAACTGGCTAGTAATTTGGCAGGAACAAAAACAGAAGTTGATGGAAAAGCTCAGCAGGTCTGGCAGCATCTGCGAAGAGAAAATCAGAGTTAATGTTTTGGGTCCAGTGACCCTTCGTCAGAATAAATTACTTTATTAATTTGGCAGGTTGGGTTGTAATTGTTGGTACGAAAATCAGCAGGTTCCATCAAGGGCAAAAGGATTTGCCTCACCACATCACTGATCTATCTGTGAAGATAAAAATCTGCCTTGGGTTAAGATATCGAACATGGCACAAAATACTGAAGGAGGGAGATTCAATAATAATTCCCAAAAGAGAATTAAATATAGACTTGAAAATGAAACGTTTAGAGACTACAATAAACAGATAGGAAACTGGTTCAATTTTACAGCCCTTTCAAAGAACTGACTCAAACAAAGGACTAAATGGCCTTCTGCGATGTGGTATGATTCTAAGACCCTATGATTTACTAAGTCTACCAAAAACATTGGTAACAATAAAATGATACCAAAACAGCTGTAGAAATACTTAAAATTCAGTTTGAATGTTGCACTTTTCTGATGTGAGTGAAATATGGTTGTGGCCTAACTGACCAGCTTTTGAGGTCTGATCCTTGTTCCACAAAAAGCCAATCAAAATGTAAGTGATTTATATTTATAACACTGCAGCTTAAACAGTCGTTTCCGCACCCCCACCCGACCACCCCACCACCACCATTGTCACAGCTCACAAACCCCTCACTCGAAACCACTGCACGTTAGGTGGTGATGGCAACTATCAAACATCAACCTAGCATCACAGGAGAAAAATATCTGGGAAGCACTAGCTTAGATCAATCCTAATTTGCTGTATAAAATGCTACACAAATTTGTCAGCGAACATTCTTCTGAGGTTGGGATCAATTATTAAATTCTAAGGCAGTACCTAACTCATATTACATCTGACGGTTCTTGATATTCACGCTAATTTTCTCTACATTATTTGTGTCATCAATATTTGAGAAGTGGGAGACAGATCAATTTTTCAGTACCAAGAGCCTACATCTAATTGCACAAAAACGACTGGCTCATGAGGGAGATTACATTCTAAAAGCAACATGTAGCCCATCATAGCTTTCCATGCAATTTTTTAACTTTGAAAAATGTATGTGAAGGATCATGGTACCAGACATGACCATAGTTGGAAAGAGTAGAAAATAAGATGAATCACATGCCTTAATTGTTTTACTAATATCTATTTATCACCCTAATTCTAGGAAGATTACTTACTAACAGATAGCCTACTGGTGGACTATTTCAACATGTTTCTCAGTCTATTGGTAAGTGTTTTCTTGATTAAATGCAGTGAAATCTGCATAAACAAAAACTCATAGAAAACAGACACCTGAGCATAAAAGACATTTGTTGACATGAGTAAATAACTCACATGGTGAAATATACAAATGGCACTCTGAAACCACAGACTATTGCAAATTCTGAATTACGGACAACCTTTGAAACAGTAAGTTCCTTCACAATTTAAAAACATGTGACACCCAGGACAGCACAAAACTACAGTGAACTACAATTTCAAAGGAATTAGTTGCTGTACAATGGGGAACACTTTAATCAACCTCAGTTGGTGTTGTAACTGAACCCACTGTGTTAACCTTCCTCTGCTTTGCTAAGATAACCAGCTGGCCAACTGAGCTAACTAACCTCCTAACTTTCTGCAAGAATAATCTCCTGTAAGGCTTTTTGATGCAAATTTGGTTCAACACCATCAAGTGTAAATCCAGTATGCTATCAAACCAGGTTTGCAAAGTGCAACATTTAGAAAACCTACTTTTGTTTAATATAGAGAGTTGAGGTACTACATAAATCGTTTCATATATGTTTGACTTTCTAACCTTTGTGAGATGTATTTGAATGAGTTATTTAGTAAACAGGACAGTCAACTTTTCAGCTAAATGGAATTCAAGCAATATAAATAGGACTCTTCTCCACTGAACTCAGAACCAGGAGTAAATCAGGAAATAAATGTATTAAATACATCCCTAACTTAGCATTTCATTGCTAATTATAAAAGAATAAAGTGATTGATATTGAATGGAGCAATCATGGAAAGCTCTATGTCAGAAATTATCTTCCTGTAACTCCTACTAGTCTCAACATTTAAAACATTACAGGGTTCCATGATATTCTTACAAAGTTTTAATCAACCTGTTCAGACAGCTTATGACAAATCTCTGTGGCAAGTGAGACTTAAACCAATACCTTCTGGACCAGAGGTAGGAACACGACAAGGCTCTTTAAACATGGCAGTCTATGATAATATCTAATTTTATAATATCTGATGGGAAGGCAATGGCCTAGTGGTATTATTGCTGGACTGTTAGTCCAGAGAACCAGATAATGTTCTGGGCAGAGGTTTGAATCCCACCAGGGCAGATGGTGGAAGCTGAATTCAATAAAATACCTGGAATCTAATGATGACCATGAACCTGTTGTCAATTGTCCTAAAAACCCATCTGGTTCACTAATGTCTTTTAGGGATGGAAACTGCAATCCTACTGGTCTGGCCTACATGTGACTCCAGACCCACAGCAATGTGGTTGACTCTAAAAACTGCCCTCTGGGCAATTAGGGATCGGCAATAAATGCTGCCGAGCCAGTGACGTGTCATCCAGTGAATGAATAAAAAAAAGCTTCTGTAGAAGGGTGTTAAATATCTAGTAGCTGAAGGCAACAAGGTAAACAGATGTTGGGATTTTTATTAGTTAATCGTACCGAGATGTGTCATAGAGGGCTCTTGTGGTACAGCAGTTGCATCTCTACCTTTGGGTCAGAAGACACAGGACCAAGTCCCATCTGCTTATATGTCATTACACCTCTTAACATTGATTTTTTAAAAAACCAATTGGCCTATATATACGAATGGACACTTATAGGGAATGACAATTTCCATTATCAATGACACTTTAGTTTAATTCCTCGATTTTTTTTTTTTGAGTTACAGGGCCATGAATGGACTGTTTTATTTTTATTGATTTGGTTAATTTTTTTTGGCTTTGCAAAGGTCTACTGGATGTGTACAGAAAGAAGAGTCAGCCAGCAGTAGGAGGGTTTGTTTAGAGTGAACATGTAACTGTGGCAAGTAATAAATAGTCTCCATCAAAACATTCTAGTTTCTATCTATGTTTCACGAATAGGCTTGGAGCTCCTCCAATTTTATCAGCAGAGAATGAAAGTGAAGGTTGGAGATGAAGCCTGGAGACAAAGATTTACTTTCAGACAGAAGGTTTGAAGTGGAGATAATGATTTCTTTTGACATAGGCTACATCTCAATCGAGGAGACACCAATAAATAGCCTGGCACTTTTACTTCCTGCCTCAAGCAAGATCAGGTGTATAGTGTCTTTAGTACTAGAAGCTGACCAACTGAACAGGGAAGAGGGTTGGCCATTGTCTCAAAGATGATTATTGAGTGCCTATGAGTCTTGACTGGACTTTGATAAATTCAGAAGTCTGGATGTTTCCTCCATAGAATAATTCATACATCATGGAGTATTTTACCTGGTCATATGTAATATTTTAGTGTTTCTACTTGGAAATTCCTACACCCGTACTTCCCTTCAAGTTATTCATTTGTGTCAGGATATCAAATATACAAACATGGACAGGCTCTTGATCTTAACCAGAATTAGATTCAAAAAGAGAGGCATGCTTCTAGATTAGATGTTAGGAGCTTTAAAAGATCTTTTGAAAAATGATTCCTTTCTGCCCACTTTAATGGCACAAATGGAGCATTCGATACTGAAATAGAGATGGTAGGAACTGCTGATGCTGGAGAATCTGAGATAACAAGGTGTAGAGCTGGATGAACACAGCAGGCCAAGCAGCATCAGAGGAGCAGGAAAGCTGACATTTCGGGCCTAGACCCTTCTTCAGAAATGGGGGAGGGCAAGGGGGTTCTGAAATAAATAGGGAGAGAGGGGGAGGCGGATAGAAGGTGGATAAAGGAGAAGATAAGTGGAGATGAGACAGACAGGTCAAGGAGGTGGGGTTGGAGCCAGTAAAAGTGAGTGTAGGTGGGGAGATAGGGAGGGGATAGGTCGGTACAGGGAGGACAGACAGATCAAGAGACAGGGTGAGGATAGTAGGTAGGAGATGGTAGTGGGGCTTGAGGTGGGAGGAGTGGATAGGTGGGAGGACAGGTTAGGAAGGCGGGGATGAGGTGGGCTGGTTTTGGGATATGATCAGGGGAGGGGAGATTTTGAAGCTTGTGAAGTCCACATTGATACCATTGGGCTGCAGGGTTCCCGAGCTAAATATGAGATGCTGTTCCTGCAACCTTCGGGCGGCATCGTTGTGGCACCAGAGGAGGCCCAGGATGGACATGTCGTCCAAGGAGTGGGAGGGGGAGTTGAAATGGTTCGTGACTGGGAGGTGCAGTTGTTTGTTGCGAACCGAGCGTAGGTGTTCCACAAAGCGGTCCCCAAGCCTCCGCTTGGTTTCCCCGATGTGGAGGAGGCCACAACGGGAACAGCGGATACAGTATACCACATTAGCAGATGTGCAGGTGAACATCTGTTTGATGTGGAAGGTCTTCTTAGGGCCTGGGATGGGGGTGAGGGTCAGGGTGGAGGTATAGGGGCAGATGTAGCACTTCCTGCGGTTGCAGGGAAAAGTGCCGGGTGTGATGGGGCTGGTGGGGAGTGTGGAGCGGACAAGGGAGTCACGGAGAGAATGATCCCTCCGGAAAGCGGATAAGGGTGGGGAGGGAAAAATGTCTTTGGTAGTGGGGTCAGATTGCAGATGGCGGAAGTGTCGGAGGATGATGCGTTGGATCCGGAGGTTGGTGGGGTGGTACGGGAGGATGAGGGGGATTCTGTTTTGGTTGTTATTGCGGGGAGGGGGTGTGAGGGATGAGTTGCGGGAAATGCGAGAGACACGTTCGAGGGCGTTTTCGATCACTGTGGAGGGGAAGTTGTGGTCCTTGAAAAACAAGGACATCTGGGATGTCCGGGAGTGGAATGCCTCATCTTGGGAGCAGATGCGGCAGAGGCAAAGGAATTGGTAATACGGGATGGTCTTTTTGCAGGAAGGTGGGTGGGAGGAGGTGTATTCTAGGTAGCTGTGGGAGTCGGAAGGTTTGAACTGGATATCGGTTTCCAGGTGGTTGTCAGAGATGGAAACAGAGAGGCCCAGGAAGGAGAGAGAGGTAACGCAGATGGTCCAGGTGAACTTAAGGTTGAGGTGGAAGGTGTTAGTGAAGTGGATGAACTGTTCAAGCTCCGACATAACGGAGGAAGAGGTGGGGGATAGGGCCAGTGTAGCTTCGGAAGAGGGATTGTTCCACGTATCCTACAAAGAGGCAGGCATAGCTTGGGCCCATGCAGGTACCCATGGCCACCCCCTTTGTCTGTAGTAAGTGGGAGGAATTGAAGGAGAAGTTGTTGAGGGTGAGGATGAGTTCAGCTAAGCGGATGAGGGTGTCAGTGGAAGGGGACTGGTCGGGCCTGCAGGACAGGAAGAAGCGGAGGGCCTTTAGACCATCTGCATGGGGAATGCAAGTGTATAGGAATTGGACATCCATGGTAAAGATGAGGTGTTGGGGACCAGGGAATGGGAAGTTTTGGAGGAGGTGGAGGGCGTGGGTGGTGTCACGGACGTAGGTGGGGAGTTCCTGGACCTAGGGGGAGAAAATGGAGTCGAGATGTGGAAATGAGTTCGGTGACATCTCCCAAAGCACCCACAATCTCATCACTTCAGGTGACCTCCCACCCACAGCCTCCAACCTCATCATTCCCCAACCCTGCACCACCTGTTTCTATCTCCTTCCCAAAATCCACCAATCTGACTGCCCTGGTCGACCCATTGTCTCTGCCTGCTTCTGCCCCACCGAACTTATCTTGACTCCGTTTTCTGCCTCTTGGTCCAGGAACTCCCCACCTATGTCCGTGACACCAGCCATGCCCTCCACCTCCTCCAAAACTTCCGATTCCCTGGTCCCCAACACCTCATCTTTACCATGGATGTCCAGTCCCTATACACTTGCGTTCCCCATGCAGATGGCCTAAAAGCCCTCTGCTTCTTCCTGTCCCACAGGCCGACCAGTCCCCTTCCACTGACACCCTCATCCGCTTAGCTGAACTCGTCCTCACCCTTAACAACTTCTCCTTCAATTCCTCCCAATTCCTACAGACAAAGGGGGTGGCCATGAGTACCCGCATGGGCCCAAGCTATGCCTGCCTCTTTGTAGGATACGTGGAACAATCTCTCTTCCGAAGCTACACTGGCCCTATCCCCCACCTCTTCCACCGATGACACTATTGGCT